GCAGACTGATCGGATGACGGAGGTGAGTGGACCTGGCGGTGGGAACAGAAAAAACAGGGAGGCTGGGGGTGAAGGGAGGCAGCGGGCGACGTCTTGTCACTGTGTGTGCTGCAGCTCAGTGTGTCTTTCCAACAGTGTTTTTGAGGGTGTGCCTGACTAGCCAATAGGCGAGCATTATGACGCTTGTTAGGAAGTAAAGGCCGGACTGCAATCAGGCTGTTCCCCTTCGAGGGAACTCGAACTGCGTCGGTGACGACACTATGGGAACGCCTCTGGGCGTGGTAGGGCTGAACTATGAATGAAACTACTCCAATCCTATTGGTGTTACTAGAACGGTAGTGTGTGACGGCGTAACCGGAGGGGGTATATAAGCACGCCGGCACCTAGGACACATTAGCTTCTTTCTATTCAGCAGGCACTCTATGTTTGGAAGCTCCATTATCCTACCTGACGTCAAGACAAAGCAGCAGATCATGTCGAAGCGATTCCGACAGTGTGTCTTTCCATGTGAGCGTTTCATCACAGAGGGTGATATCCATGGGATGTGCGTCTCATGCCTGGGGATGTCTGCGACCATTGCGAGGCCCTGCCCCTGAGGGTGCTGAGGTCTTGAGTGGCTCTTTTCCTAGAGGATGGTTGGATGTGCTCCCCTCGTGGCACAGGCCCCGCGGTCGCTGAAGCGTTGCGGCGGCTCCGATCCTGGGGATCACAACGCGAGATTGCCTAAGGTGCCAGAACGGCTGAGGCCTTTTTCCGGTCCTCGTCCGTGGAATCCTCCTCCCCTCGTCCCCGATCGGGAGCCTGTTTCTCGGTTTCTCCCACTCGAGGGGTGAGTCCGGAGAGGCTGACACGATCTGGCTCTGAGGAGCTAGATGTGCTTAGCATGGAGGAAACGGAACGTCATCAGCCCTCGCCAGGATACGAGGAGTTGTTGGAAGTGGTGACGCGGGCCGTGGCCAAGCTGCACATTGATTGGCCACAGGCAGTGCAGCAGCCATCAGTAGGCAGCAAAACTAGATGAGCGGTTTCTGCAACACCGAGCGCCACCCCCGCGTCGGCCCCTACCATTTTTTCCAGATCTACACAACGAGTTGCGTCCCTCCGGATGCCGGCGCTCCCCACCAAGCCGTGTCGGATGACGTCCGATTTGGTGGGCAAGGCCTACATGGCAGCGGGTCGAGCTGGTGCCAGCCTGCACACGATGGCTGTCTTGCAGCTGTCAAGCGTCCCCGTGGGTCCTGCGCACAGTAGTAGATGGCTACAGGCTGCAGTTCCTCTCACAGGAAGTTCCTGAGGTTCGCCTTCGGGGGCACGGCTTACCAGTATCGGGTTCTTCCTTTCGGCCTAGCACTATCTCCCCGCATGTTCACCGAATGCATGGATGCAGCTCTGGCTCCGTTGAGGCTCCAGGGCATCAACTACATCGATGACTGGCTTGTCCTGGCCCAGTCTCGAGAGTTAGCGGTTTGGCATCGAGATGTCGTCCTCGCCCACCTTCAGCGTTTGGTGCTGCGGCTCAACGTGAAGAAGAGCGTGCTGACACCCGCCCAACGGACTACGTTCCGGTGGGGTGGTGTGGGACTCAACGACGATGCGGGCCCACCTGTCTACCGCACGCATCGAGTCCATTTTGTCCTCAGTGACCAGAGTGCAGTTAGGCCGCGCCATCACTGTAAAACACTTTCAGAGGGTGTTGGGTCTTCTGGCAGCAGCGTCCAGTATAATACCTTCCGGACTACTGCACATGAGAGCCCTGCAGTGGTGGCTAAAATCCAAGGGATTCTCCCCGAGGGGAAATCTGCTCCGTCTGATACGGGTTACGAGCGGATGCCTTCATTCCCTGTCTGTATGGAGGAAATCTTGGTTCCTGTCCCAAGGTCCCGTGTTGGGAGCGATCTGTCGCCAAACAATTATTTCAACAGACGCCTCACTCACAGGATGGGGTGCAGTCATGGACGGCACCCCGAGGTGGTGGAGTTATTATGCGAAGAGTTCGGCCCCATAGACGTGGACTTGTTTGCGTCCCGAGAGACGGCGCACTGTCCCCTGTGGTTCTCCCTCTAGCCCCCAGCCCCGCTAGGGTTGGATGCCATGGTGCAGACATGGCCGAGGCTGCGTCTGTATGCGTTATATCGCTCCTCGAGGGCCCGCCCTGGCAGGTCCCTCTGAGGAGAGACCTGCTGTCCCAGGCGGAGGGCCGGATCTTTCACCCTTGCCCCGCCCTGTGGCAGCTATGGGACTGGCCCCTGAGGGCGCACAGTTCCTAGCACCTGACCCTTAAGATGACCTTTCTCCTCGCTATCACCTCTCTGAGGAGTGTGGGGGATCTCCAGGCACTCTTGGTGTCTCCCCGATGCCTGGAGTTTGCCCCGGGGAGGGTCAGGGCCATCCTGCACCCTTGTACAGGTTATGTCCCTAAGGTTCTGGCCAGACTGGCAGGGTCCACGGTGCTGCAGGCTCTGCCCTGTCAGAGCACTGAGTATTTACACTCTGAGGTCTTCCCGGTGGAGGAAAGCAGACCAGTTGCTGATGTGTTTCGGGTCCCCCAAGGCTGGGCTCCCCGCTTCTAAACACACGATCAGCAACTGGATCGTTCAGACTATTTCCCTGGCCTATTAGGTGCGCGGTTTGCCTTCACCTATGGCCGTAAGGGCGCACTCTACTCGAGGCATGGCGGCTTCTAGGGCCCTCCTCGCAGGGGCGTCACTCCAGGATTTGTGTGACGTGGTTGGCTGGGCCACCCCTCACACTTTTATCCGGTTTTACAGTCTGGACCTGCCTTCTGCACCCGGCACCCGTGCGCTCTCCTCCTAGTCGTGCCGTCAGGTTCTGCACGCTGGGGGCAGGCGGGGTTTCGGCGCAGCCTAAGTGGGTATCTCGTTCCCATAGTGTTGTCAACGATGCAGTGTCTCGTTCCCCATCTCGGGGAACAAGTGTTACATACGTTTACGAGACGTTTTCAGGCAGTTCAGAAGCAGTGTTTTCTGTGGGAGATGGTAACTCTCTTTGGGGTGAACTTGAGTGTAATATGACTTCTTTGAGTAGCGTTAACGAAAAGCATGTTTTTTGTCAAGTTAAACACTAGTTAAATATTCTTAATAAATACCATGCTGAATTACCTAAGAAATACATCCTGGTGTGACGTTTGCCTGTTGGAGAGGCAAACTTTTATGTTAGTTGTATAAAACGATATGAAACTGATTCTAATATGTATCCCAATGTTATATTATATACACACACTACACAAAATCACCATATACAGCAATTGCTAATCTTTAACAGCACATTAGCGTAGAAACGTTTAATGTCAGTATTAAGTTGGATCCTTTCCTACTTTGTTTTTCCACACCTTGCTAATGTTAAATGCTAATGTTAGTTAAACCTCTTTACAAAACACTGAAGATAAAGTTATATCTGCCCAGTAATAGTTGAACACACTCATTGTGTGGCTTTCTTTTGGTATTATTTTATTTCACTTCAATGATTAAAGTTTTCATGCTGTATACACTTCATAATACTTCACAATAAAAAAAACAGTCAGCCACTGCATCAGGACAGATTAATTTGTTTCTGCTGTGTTTTGGAAGTGTGATCAGAAGAGGGAGGTCACTCCTAACTCAGTCTGTGGCACTTCTCTGTTAGCACATCTGTGCATGGGTTAAGCACACTCTCTGAAACCGGACCCTCCCCACTCCAGCTCCGTCACAGAGTGTACTCTGTAGTCACACTCTCAGCTGAATGAAGCACCCTTCATTACAGTGTAGGGTATAAATATATAGTGGCAAGCTTTGGAATGAACGTTCTCCTCTTCAGCGGAAACAGGAACTGTCTTATGTTTCATAACCAGGGTTTCATATCAGCATATTTTGGAAGCTGCAGCTTTTTGGTAGAAACTCTACAACAACACGCCATATGGCAAGGTATACATTATCAGTAGTAGACTCTTTAGAAAACAGACCAGAAATATAACCTCATAAAGACAGAAAAATTTAATTAAATAGCTAAGGAATCTCTTGTTATAATTTTAAGGCATTAATAATGTTCAGTAGTTTTTTGTTGTTCTTGTTCTCTTTTTCATATACTTCATTTGCAGTGCCAGTGTTATATCTTAATACATTTACCTTTGTGGATAACAAAATTTACCTAAAATAAATACGGTTTTGAACAGAAATTCAGTTTTCTGAAAGCAGCAATTGTTGCCATTATCCACCACCTGTTGGAAGGTGGGAGGAGTTGGACGATTTCTCACCGTTTTTCACTGTGATGTTTATAAGCTGCTTGGTTTTTGCAACAGTCTGTAAATATAAAACACTTTACAATCAAACCAACATGTCTACCATTTTTTAAACCAGACAAGGGTATCTTTGATCCTAAATACAATGTAATCTTTAAGTTGCGAATGTCTATCTAAGTTTGAACAGTTGAGTTGGGGTTTTTTATAGCCCACTTGTAGTCCCCACGGGAGAGGGTGTAAGGTGTGGTTTGAGACATGCTATTGATTGTTTATGTGAATTTCAGCTTTGGCTACTTGTCTATTAACTTCTGCCTGATCATGGGTTTCCACATTTCTTCTTTGGTAGAAAGGACGTACATCCCCTTAGGACTTGAATACAAAATGGGATTCTTTCAAATTTAACCTATTTTGATGTCTGCAAACACACACAAACACGCACATGTAGCATGTCAGAAAGTGCATTACATTGACAGCAGGACTGACAGAAGAAGAAAACCAGGATGACAGAGAGAGAGAGAGAGAGAGAGAGAAAGAGAGATAGCGAAAGAGAGAGGGAAATCAAAGGGACAGATAGAGGTATTGATGACACAAAGATAATTAAGTCATCCTATCAAAAATAATTAAACATTCATAGAGTCCATATTGCCCTACTTAAAATATTTATCATAGTTTGGAGTGTGAGCTCTTTCCCTTTCATCTCGCTCTAAGGATCTAAGTCCTCATCCATAAACCCATATAGATGCAAATGCTGCAGCAAGCTGCAATCTGAAGAAGAAAACAAGAACTTTAATCAGAAAACAACTTAGAAGAAATGATAAATTTCATTTATACCAAAATATGATGATATTGTCACTGTCCACACGTTGATAAATTGTCAACAATCCTGTAAGAATGAGCAGCCTCTTGCTTCAACATATAAAATGCAAGAAATCTAATGCTGCCTGTTTCCCAGTGATATCGTGCTTCTGTGAGACTCTGGCGAAGGCGTCGGCAGCAGCTGCAGCATCCCGGATGTCAGGCCTAGTCCCTGACAGTCAACATAATAAAATATTACTAAAAAGATACAGATGTCAAGGAAAGAGATTTCAATTTATGCTTGGCTCCAATTTAACATTTATATACATGCAATTATATGAGACTGAAAGTAACATCTGTTTAAGGGCACGGCAAGAATGATTTGGGCAAATTTAACCTTTCTTACGTGATTGACCAGTTTGTAAATTAATTATATGGCTGCACTCTCACTGCAGGCAGTAATGCACAGCAATTTCAAATTGCTGTTCATTTATTTTCTAGTTGATAGTAAAAACTTTATCTACATTTGATACGAAACTTATGTAAAATAAAATAATAGGAAAAGAGATTAAAGTGATCAAAGAATTTGTACTTTGAGATAATGGGGAAATGCAAACTTGATTTTTACAGCATCATCTTGAGATCAGAGAGTGTCATTATACGTACCTGACTACTGGGTGAAATGTTCAACCCACCTGTGATATTTTGTGTTTCCAAGATTTAAAGTTTAAGCTGCAGAAACACTTTTAAGCAGAGAAAATAAAAATAAAGTGTCACGGGATCCAAATAAAATAGAGAACTTAGACTCACTATGATCTGAACACTCCCATTGTCAGCAAGTCTGACTTGGTCACCTTGGTCATCTCCAGAGTAGGTGACTTAGTGACTGAGCCACTGGTGAAAGGCTGTTTTGACACACCTTCTCACTAATTGAGGTAGTGAGATCACATGTGCCAGGTCTGGATAGTTTTTTCAGCTTAAACTTAAAACGCTTACAACAGTCAAGATGTTGTTGAGAAAATTCTGAAAAAACCCCCACATCATTCTGCTGGTTTTGGGTGTGTTTTCAATTATTTTGGCTGCATTTTATCCAACACTGAGCAAGTTGTGTCTCACCTCCTTTTTGTCACGGGCTAAGAGTTGGCTTGTGACAAGTGGGGGCTCGTCTGAGATCCTTGCTTCAGGTGCGAGGGGTTGTGGAATTTGTTTGTTAGGGTGACGGGATATATTCTGTGTAATTTCAGGATCCCTAGCTTTTTGGTAGGGTGACAAGTTCTGCCAAGATACTGAATATCACTGCAGACTCACAGTTTGACCGACCTAAAAACCCTTTGAAACACTTGATATCGGCTATCTAGAGAACGTCTGTGTTGATTTTAGTAGCGTTTCAAGAAAGACTTGTGGAGATATAGATGTTCATTGATTTAGCATATTATGAAAAGTACAGAGTGACTGAATTCTGAATTGACCATAGGTTGCAGTGAGGCAAACGTTTGTCACATATCAGTGGATGTGCTGAAAAATGTTCAGCTCTCTAGAACGTAGGGGTGATTTTCTTAGATTTTTTGAAGTTTGGAATGAGAAATATCTATACATTTACATTTCTTGTAATAAGCCACGCCCACTTTGAGCAGTCATTACCAAACTTTTTGCAATTTACGGGCCATTATGTAAAATTGTATGTAAATACACAAAAGTAAAAATTTATGGAAAAAAAACAGATTGACGTGTCAAAATTCTTTTGATAACCTTTGACCAGCGACATCCGTAGATGATCCTGCCAAACTCTCAGGTTGATTGGCGAAACCATCTGGGACGAGTTCACAAAAACAGATTTTAGAGAAATGTGATGAAAAGTCGTATAATTTGACATTTTTAGAGCAGAAGACCATTGGAGCAAAGATGCAGATGAATCCAGAGATTAAAATGATGAAATTAGTTTGACTTTAAATGAAGCTGTTTTGGACAGTTTTTGCTGCCCAAACAGCAAAAAGAAGAAAGAAAGACAGAAGAAGAATAATCAGAACAAAACCAATAGGGCAGCTTCGCTGCTTGGATCCATAATAATATTTAGTTTTATCCTCAAAAATACACAACTTTTCCTACACATAAAAATACCAAAACTGTTCCTTTTTTGGCGACAGTGTTTTGTTGATTTATTAGGGGGCTGTTGTCTTAGATTTTACAGGTGTACCTAGGGCTGGACAATATGGCCAAAAATGTTATCACAATAAAAAAGTTTCATATCTTTCGATATCGATAATTATCACGATAAGTATCAAATTGTTTTTCCTTTTGAGTTTAAGGGCTGATTTTTGTTCCTGAGTGATGTGAAACTCTCCTTTATCGTCAACACTTGATGCCAAACAGTGGATCACTTCACAAGTCAGAGGCAGAACATTCAAAACAATTATGATAAAATCTTTGTCAACAAATATGCATGAGTAAAATTAAGTAAAGCTTTTTTCAGTCCTTTTTCCTCAACAAAATAAATTTGTGTATCATTCAAGTGAATAAAATCAAACATTTATTGAATATGTATTGAACAGTTGTTAAATTGTAACTGAATAAAATTATATTGTGATAATTATTGTTATTGTTTTATCGTCCAACCCTAGGTGTGCCTATGGTAACTAAGTATAAGTTGTCTGAAGGGGGGGACTGAAGGGAGAAACACCCTGAAACAAACAAACTGAAAGAAGCTGCGGTAAAAGCCTGGAATAGCATCACAAATGAAGAATGCAACAGTTTGGTGATGTCGATGGGTCGCAGGCTGGAGCCAGTTATTGCAAGCAAGGATTATGCCACCAAATATTAAATGTTATTTACTTTAAGATTATTTGTTCCATTACTTTTACTCACCTAAGAATGCTGTGGTCTAATACAAACTGTGATATGTCCTAAGTTGTTTAACACATCAAGATGTGAATACCAGGAAATAAAAGCTGAAATTCTGAACTCGTCTCATACTCATCTTCTATCTTGATCTTAAACCCAAATGTCTTCAGTGAACAACAAAAACAAAGGAATTTGCCTTACCGTTCCAATACTTTTGGAGGGGACTGTATGTCTGAGTGAAATCTCTGCACTGTATCTATGTGGTCCATATTGGAATTGAAACAACTGCAACCCTTTGCAAATTCTGATGCTTTTCCACAATGTCAACATGTAGTTAAAAATTGCAAAGTAAAACCTCTGTAGAGAACAGAATTAGGACATTTACCTGTTTTATTATAATTAAATGTAATGAACATCTCAAACCCCACGACCCGACCCTGGATAAGCAGATGAAGATGGATGGATGGATGGAACATCTCAAAATGATGCTCCTTCTGTCCTATCATCACTAAGCCTTCCAAGAGGACAACAGAGAGAGGAGACTTGTGGTTTACCTCTAACAATACCTGGGTCGATATAATTATCATAAATATGATCATAAAAATATAATCATCCTTATGTAATGACTTTCCAGATAATGGAAACTCACCAACAGCGACTGAGCTTCCCTAATAAGAAGTGCCATTTTTCAAAATTGGTAATATGGGGTCATTACATTACAACATCATCGTTGAAAAGGAACTGTAACACGAAAGAGAAGAATATGGGTAAACGAGAAAAGAGACAAAGGTGCACAAATAGGGACACAACAGGCAGACAGCTCACAAAGACAGCAAGGCAATGAATAAATAATGAATTGATGATAGTCTCTTTTCCCTGTCAGTTGTTTGCTTTTTTTGCCCATGACTCCTTTCTTCTCCTTCAGCCTTCATTACTCTCAGATTCTTCCCATCTCTTAACCTCACATTCTCCTTTCTTTATTGTCTCTGTTTGTTCTCCTTCTGCCGCCACTCCTTTCCCTTTTTCTACCTCCAGCGTTGTTTCCACTGTTGCTCTCTCCTGCCTCTTTCCCCAGTTTTCTGTCTCATCCTTTCATCTCTGTTGTTCTCCCACCTCATTCCCCATCCTCCCCTCCCTCCCTATGGCCAACCGCTGCTTAAACAAAGTTTCTGTTGAAAAGTTGAGCTGATTGGTCAGGCCATCACAAAGCTGGATGTGCACACAACATATCCACACACACACACACATACACACACACACACACACATATATACACATAGATAGATAGAGAGAGAGAGCTCTGCTGTGTTCTGCTTCGGTTCCCCAAAAACAAAAATTGTAGCTAGGGGCAAGAAGCTGTGCCTGATGTTATTATAGTCCAATGGAGAACAAACAGAAGACATTGAGACATGTTTTTTTTTTTCCAGAGCCGTGAACACTAAGTGAACACAGTAGAATAGCTGAGCGTTTGTCTAATGTAGTCATAATAATAAAGAAGTGCAATGGGAAACAAGACAGGGCTGAAAATGAGGGAACTAATGCGGTTAGCATGCTCTTCTTTTCCCTTTTTCTTCTTTATAGTGTACTTGGAGACAGCTTTAGCATGCAAGCAAAGAAAATAGGAAGAAAGGAGCTATGTAGGAAGGATGCTCTGCACTCCATCCTGCAACGCCTGCTTCTTTTCCACTCGTCTGTTTTCTTTTCTTCCCTTCCTCCCTCTCTTATTCCATCCCATCCCTGACGAAATGCTTTCTGACACTGCCACTGGCTGCTGGTTCCTCTAGCCATTTGCAAAAACACACACACACACACCCATACACACACTCACATGTTCCTTAACAACACATACTCAACCACATGTTTTGCATTGAGAACAGCTGCCTGCTGAAAACAACGTAATAGTGGTCAGAGTGAACTTAAGCAGTAAAGCAATGCAAGATGCTAAAATGCTTTATAGAACTGAGGGGAACTGCAGAGTTGGTTAATAACCCCTTGCACATAGTGATCAATCCAAAATTGCGCTATGATTATAGCTGCTTTAAATGTAAAACTTTGAAACCCTAAGAAATGTATTAATGTATGTATTAATAAAAGATTTTAACTTTAGAACAACTTTAAAATGCAGCTGTAACATCTTGTTGCCTGCAAGTGGCCCATGTTAAAGTTGCAGCAGATGTTAAATTGCGTTGCCTACATGCTGCAACATTACTTTTCTTTACTATAGGTTGACATGCATAAAACTGATTTTACAATAACTCAAGAGCTGCACCGTGCAGACAATAAGCAGCTTTCTACATATGAAGAAGTTAGTTTATGAATTAAAACCTCACATCGAGCTTCACTTGTAGTTATAAATCTCTGCAAGGAAGTTATTTTTCCTGGGCTGTGTGTACTTATTTGTTTATCAGCCATTTGATGTTTGCAATGGGAGGCATACGGAAGCAGTGAGAGCTTGCTGGCATCAAGCTTTTTATAGACTAGTGCTGTTACTATATGTTGTACATACTATATATTTGCCACTGATTAGGAAAGAGCTGTCTAGGATCACAAATTATATGTCATTAGTCAAGGCAGCAATCAGATCAGTGCACAGCTGTGCCAGCCTTCACAAAATCCAAGCGAGGAACATGACAAATCCACTTTCTATACTTCAAGATTTATTTTACTTTGAAGAAATCTGAACACAGAAATCACAACACATTTACAATTAACACGTCCATATACACACATGGAGGTATACACACAAACACACACGTGTGCTGTAAAAAGACACACATACGGTATATACACACATTTGGTCAGTAGGCTGAGTTGATTATGCATGACCTCTTCAAATACCACCAAAATGCCACTAGGAATACACAGACGTCTAATATAGTACGAATGTAGTGGGTACAATTTAGGAACACATACATGCATACTGATACATACACACAAGCACATCTGAGTTACACATTAAACTAATCCTTAACTGATTATTCACTATGTAAACCTTTGTCATGTGGGACAATTTCTGCAATCAAAAATATATTCATAGGCTAGGAGGCCATGTCCTTAGTTTGAGGTACAAAACACACACACACACACACACACACACACACACACACGCACACACCTATGCAAGCACATACACACCATGCCAAAAGGCAATCTTTATGGCATCTCCCAGTGGAACCATATGAAAGCCCTGAGACGCTAGTGAGAAAAAAAAATCT